GTTGATTTGTTACAATTTGATTACTTGTTTAATTCATTGTTGATACAAGTTTTATTCAGTTTACAGATCATAGAATGCTCTTTCGTTTGCTATATTTTGCATTCATGTTTAATTCTCATCTAATTCAACTTTAATATATGTGTAATACATTTTAAATTCAAGTTTAATTCATTTTGCAGTTTATTATATCTCTTCATTTGTTACGATTAGATTACTTGTCCAATTAATTATTGATACAAGTTTTATCCCGTCTACGAATTATTGATTACTATACGAAAGAAAGTAGAGAGAGAAAGAAAGGGAGAAAGAACAATAGAAAGAGAGGGAGAAAGAGCAACATAAGAAAGAAAGGAGAAAGAATAATGTACAGAAAGAAAGAAATGGAGAAAGAATAACGTACAAAAAGAAAGAAAAAAAGAAAGAAAGAAATGGAGAAAGAATAACAAAAAGAAAGAAGGAAAGGGATAAAGTGCGAGAAAGAGAGACAAATATGAAAAGGCTAGAGACAAAAAAAAAAAAAGAGGCGAGAAAAAAAGATAAATATAATAAAATACATAGTATTGTTAGATATTGCTATAAATGGTAATAATTAAAGAATATATTTAAAATAAGTAATTATTTTTTAAAAGGGATCCACTCAAGTAATTAATCCTTATATCAAACTATGCACACCCAGTAGGCCAGTAGGTTGCTAACTCCGTTTTAAGTATTTCTTAAAAGGGAAAATTAAGCGTATAAGCAAACATATAATAGTTAATTACTTAACATAACTATAGTTTACCTTAATTACAGTTCGCAGCCTACTTTTAGCTATAATTATGCAACTCAACTTTTTAGTTTTGTATAATTCGCACGTTTGTATAATTCGGATTTTGTATAATATAATTTGTATAACTTTTGTATAATTTGTATAATATAATTTGTATAACTGTTTACACTTCTGATGTTTGTAATTGTATAAATTCGTTATTTTGAGTTTACACAAAAATAACTAAATTATACAATCACAAACGAGATATATTAAATTGTAACTACAATCCATAAATATGCAAACTATAGCTGTGAAACATAATTAAATTTATTATAGTGGCTATTTGCGAAAGTTTCTCTTCTTAAAATTATTTTCCACCCAATTTTCAGAGCCCGCATTGGACTCGTTGTAAGTATTTTTGTTTGTTGACTTTTTTACCCTTGAGCTTTAGACATATCAGTGGCTTGCAATGGAGCGAAACGGATAGAGCGTGGAAATGACAAAATTAAGGGAAATCATCTACAGCCTCTCAATCTTTTCAATTTCATAGCACAGACGGAGTCAGAGAAATTGCAATGGAGAGCGCTCTTCTCTCTGCTTCCCGCTTCACTACTGCTTTGCACAGTTAAGCAAAATTTCTGTAAAATTTAACTTTGTTAAGCTTATCTTAAAATTTTCTTGTATTGTAAACTAATTTTTGTTTTGTATTTTATCAGAAGCAGAAAGAGAAGTAGTAGATGGGCCTGTGGCTGTGAGGAAATTACAAAGCTCATTCTATGGCAAAGAGATTAATAGTCATGCTCTTTTCACTAGAAACTTCAAAAAAATCAATCTCACTGTCACCTCAGTGGTTAGTTAATTCATATTTCTCATTTTTTTTGTTTTTTCATTTGATCTAATTTTGCCTTTGGAATTTGAGATGATTCCTCATGGGATCTGTAATTGCTAATATAGTTAAGCCTCTATAGTGAGATGCAGTTATAAAGAGCATATAATATAGTAACATAATATGAAAGTTGATTCAAAGAAAACTAGGCTGTTATAGGGAAATGTTGGACGATTGTTATAGAGATATTTGACTGTATCTAATTGTAGTTTACTGGGAATTTGGGCTAATGTTCATGGTTTGGCAGATGCGGAAGAAACTGATAAAGAAGGAGACTGTTGTTCCTGACCCAGATTACCGAATTCCTATTGTCCTTCTAGGTGCATCTTACAATTCTCTTTTTCTTTGATAAATCAGCATTTTAAAATTTATAGTTGAAGTTAAACACATTGTTTGGATGGTTGTTACCTGTGGTATTGTATCGTAATGTTACTTAAGCTACAATGTTTATTGTTACTAAATTTTGTTGTATCCTATTATTAACTCCGTTATGTAACAATGAAAAATTCCATATAATGTAACAGCTTATTTGGTGTGATCACGTGGGCTTACCATTTGTATTTAATAATCATATTACTTTTACCCTATCATAACTCTATCTCATACTCTATTTCTTTGATAATATTGTAAGCTTATTGTTCAAAATGTTGGTACATGATGGTGTTATGAAACAACAGGAAACAATACAATACATACATTATATTCATCAAAACAATACAACAGAGTACATTACAATAGAATACATTATGAAACGATATGTACAGCCATCCAAACAAGCTGTTATTTGTTGAAGAATTTCCCTCAGTCCCTCCCTCATTTCATTTTTCTCTAGTGTCTTTGTTCTAATTTTTTACATTTTTGTATGAACAGGGTTATCTGGTGGTTTATTTTATGTGGAAAATCTACCAGCAGCAGTTCCTATTGGTCTTCTTGGATTACTCCTGTTATTCCAGGTACCTCTTTTTTTCTTTTTTTACAAATGAGATGGAGAGCAAAACTGTAGTCGTCTTATTAGAATGAGATTTTGTGTTACTTCTGTTTTAAGCGTTTTCATCCTTCATGGCAACATTAAAAGATTGTCCAGTCATCTACAAGGCACCCGTGCTTTGTGAATCATAGACATTGAGGCTTTCCTTTACTTGATGCACGTTTACATGTCTAATGTTTGTGGCTTTTAGCAAACAAAAATTGTAAGGTAGGAATTCAATGATATATACTGAACTTTTCCTACCTCAGTGTGGTGCATGAATTGTACATAGAAAAGATAAATAGGAGAGAGTTTTGCTTACATTGCCTTAAGAAAGTAATTCAGAAGCCAACCTAGAGATTCTAGGTTCGAATCCCAACTACACTTGCTGTGAGATCACAACTCTAAATTGGTAGATTTCTTTTGGCAACCTGTGCTTCTGAGTTGAATAGGCTGCTTGATGGATAAGTCGAGGTGTGCATAAGCTGATGGGATGACCAATAACCCAAAAAAGAAGGAAAATCACCTCAGAATCTTCTGTCAAGAGTTGAACCCATGACATCCAAATTATAACGGGGAGCTTCTTCTATTGCACCGGATCTAGTAACAGATCATCTGTTCATTCTGCTTATTATCTTAATTTCCTTGATCTCGTTCATTCATTTAGCATCTATCAGGCTGGCATTCCTTATTGATTCACATCGTTTTTCCCTTGCAGACAACAAGAGTGAGATTTGTCTTTGATGATGAGGCTCTGGTATGTATAGCATGTGGTTACATTCTTATTTGTATAAATCTGATGTAAGCAATTTATATACCATTGCGTGGTCATATTAGTTGTTCTCTCTAATTGCTATGTTAACTTCGTTGCAGGAGGTGAAAGTTGGAGAGCAACTCGAGGAGTCAGGTGAAAATGTTTTCGTGGGTGGAAAGAACCGCTGGAAGTAAGTAGAAGGCAATCCTTGCTCTAAGTCAGTTTTGCAAAATGGCTGATTCAAATGATGTGAACAGATATTCTTCATTTGTGAACTGGGAGCTATGGTGGCCAAACTTTCCGATTTTGGTTTATTTTAAAGAGAAACAGACAAAACCCGAGGGACAAATACACTTTTTCCCAGTGATTTTTGTAAGTGCTTTTAAACTTAGAATGAGTATCTTTTGTTTCACATGTGAGGTTTAGTCTGATTAAATTTCATAAATAGAACGGGAAGCAACTGTATGATGCTATGGTGGAGAGATGTGGCCCTTCAAAAACTAGCGGACCAAAGTAGTGCAGCATGAGCTCCAGGGAGAAGACGAATATGAGCCAGACAAACCATATGATCAGAATTTGTGGCAAAGGTATGAAGCTCAACGAGGTTAAGGAACTCGTTATTGAGTTACAAGATGTGGTTTAATCAATTAATGTATATTCCCTTTCATGTTTTTACGCGTCTGTAAAATCATAACGATAAACTAATGCACAACTCACAAAATCATGTATTATATAGCACCTTTACTGTTTGAAGGCGGTAACTGGATGCAAAACTTTCTGTATTCTAGCTCATATATTATATCATACATTTTACAGTTCTAATGTGTAGTTTGGTTTTCATTTTCTTGAAATATATATATATATATGTTTTCTGATACGTTGATCTGCCTATGGTCAAAGGTTGGCTCGTGCAAAGTCCAGAAACCAGCATATACGTATCAACGTAATTAGTTACATTAGCCTCAATACCAACAAATACATAATTTCAAAATGTACAAGTCACAAGAATTACATCCCAAATATTGTTTCGATTAGTTAAAATCACACTGAAAGTTGATGATTCAATATAAATAAACAAACATTAGTGTCATAATCACCTACAATTAATAAAGTAGGTGAAAATCACAAAGGATTAAGATTCAAATTTCAGTATCAACAAAAATTCTTCACATAAGTTTGAACAAGTTGATGAAAGATTATGGATAATTAATAGAGTAATCAAGTTGCGTATAAATGGATAACTGGTAGATTAATCAAGGTGCGTATAATGTATCTAGACATTACCAATATATAAAAAGAACTAAACAAAATACTACATCAAACTTAAAAACAACCTCCAAAATTGATGATAGAGTAGCCAGGCTGATTTACATGAATGTTTCTTTTGAGTTACCATTTAGATTATGTATCTATTTTTTAAAAGCTATACAATATACCCTTGAGATAACATTAGACACGGATCTAGTATATGCTCATAACCTATAAAATATTAGATCGTGGTCTGACGTTTTCTTATAAAAATTATAATTTTTTGTATTTCCATTAGCTTTTCTGTCGGGCCAATTAAACGTTAGCCCTTCAACATAAAAAGCCCACCCAGTAAGCAAAAAACGAAAAAAAGAAAGAATAAGAAAACAATGAACTGACTGGTAAATATGAAATGTGACCCCACACAATCCAAAGGCCTAACAATGGATAGCAAACAACACTTGGTGTCAGTTTCAGAATTTCTTGTTTTTCTGATTCTGATGATAGCAAAATCCATTGCCAAACGAACGAAGCTAAACAAAACATAGAAAAAAAGGGAGGAAATGTTAACAGCACCTTCACTTTCCCGCTTTAAGTCTCCATTTATCAGCTCACCTCTTAAGCTTCCTCCTCTTTCTTCTTCTTCTTTCATTCAGAAATTTCATCAAACACATCGTAGGCGAAATTCTTACCCATGTATTAGAGCTGTGGATCTTGATCAAAACACGGTTCTTTTCTTTCTCTAGTTCTCTTTTTGTGTTTTTCTTCCATGGTTGTTAGTTGATCTCATATGGGTGTTTTTATTTTTTGTTTTTTGGGGGATTGTAATGTACTTGGCAGGTGATAGCAATTACAGTTGGGGTGCTCAGTCTTGCTATTGGAGTTGGAATTCCAGTTTTTTATGAAACCCAAATTGATAATGCTGTAAGTTTTTTTTGTTAATATTTATGAAATTTGCTCTTTGAATACACTTTTGTACCTTTCTTGATTATCGGAGCTACAGTTCTGCTTATGGGTTCGGCAGAGCTCAATAGCTTGGGCTTAAACTCTGTATTTACGTTAAAACGGTCCACTTAGTATGTATATATAACTTATCTGAAACCTTATAAGTTGTCTTTTTTAGAATTTAGAAATCATAAACTCAAAATTCTAGTTCAGCCTCATTGATTATTGGGGTGACAGAAACTATATGCTTCTTATTTTCCCTTTATTACTTGACACTTCCTGCTGGAATTCGATGTGTAACTCTGTTTTCATAGTTAGAGAATGTACATTTTACAGGCAAAAAGAGAGAATACGCAGCCCTGCTTCCCCTGCACTGGCACTGGTGCTCGTAAGTATTTCTTGAACTAGTGTTTCCCATTCTTTTGTTTTAATACATGTTCAGTTGATCGATTCGTTAAGTAGAAATGAGCTTAAAAGGATATTGTTATGTCCACAAGTGTACATAAAACAAGATTACTACATAATTGATAGGTAGCACTCAATTAAGAAACTTGAGCTGGATGGCTGTCCAGAGAGCAGCAGAATTATTCTTCTTCTTAGTAAAATAATGTTGAAACAATCTCATTAAGTGAGAGTTTTCTGTCTGCGTCGAACCCCCAGAACTTCAGTTTCATTTGGAAATTAAATAGTGGATGCTAGTAATTCTTGTTGTCGAAGGAGTGCATTGTACATTGGTAATTTTCCGGGTAAAATTTCATTTTCCATTTTCAGATGAGGTATGGGAAAACGTAGACTGTAGAATAAGGGCAAAATTTTCGATATTCTCAAGATAAAACTTAGACATACATGTTCTGGTTCATGCTTGGCTTCAGTTTTAGATGTTGTAGTACCTTTTCTGATGGTTTTTGCCTTTTTGGCCGTGAAGAACAATTTCTCACCCATTCTTGTTGTCACTCTATCTTAGGGAAATAACTCTATGTTTAAGATATAAGTTGCACTACTTGTTTTTTTTTTTCGTTTAGTAGTGGTGCACCATTTGCAACAGATCTAGTCATTTCATTTGCCAGCCAAGACAAGTTAGACTTTTGTTTGAGATATCCTAGTCTCTTATTGTAGTCATGTTTTGCATGTATATACCAATGATCAGAACTTCCGTAAGTTCGAGCAAAGCCATCAAACTAAACCGTATTTTAAGTGCTTCCATTGATCTTAAGCTGACAAATTGAATTGGTCTAGTTTTGTATCTCTTTATATTGGCATGTATAACTTGTTGATCAAAATCTCTGACATGACGGATTGAGAAAATTGAGCATTTCTTAGAAGGCTTTCTGAAAATGCTTATAGTATGTATCTAGGACTTACTTTAATCACGTAATTCTTGTGACACTTCAATGTTTTCATTGGAGGTGTCACCTATCCCTTAGCATGTCTCTGGTGCTTTATGGTGTTTTTGAATTGAAGCTACTTACATGAATGACTAATTACCAATGAGCTACTAGGACATCTTTGGCTTGGATCCAACAATGTTGTTTCATTTGCTACTTCATCCTGGCCTGACTTAAATATTCCTTCCTATAAATGACATAATTGTATTTGGGAAGTGTTCCTTAAGGTGGTGGCATCTGCTAGGGAGTTGTTGGTTAAGAAAGAGAGTGACAAAGAGAACTGTGATTTACTTGGTTTTTATTTCCTTAAAATTTGCTCGGAGACTAATCTTGATAATTGCCACCTTAAACTTCATAGTGATTCTTGGGATTAATGTGCCATCAATTTAGATGCATGCATAGACATTGCAGTGCACAACAATAGAGGGAAATTGATTAAGTGCACCACAAGATCTTACTCAGCTTCTATTATTCAAAAAGTCGTCAGTAGATTGTCTGACCAAAGACTGTAGAGCCAGTTAATCTTTAAAACCTAACATTTTTTGAGACTGACATAGAGCTAATACTTATGAGGAAAGGACTTATATTGCAGAGAAATGCAGATTTTGCATGGGTACTGGCAGTGTGACGGTGGAGCTTGGAGGGGGTGAGACAGAAGTCTCTCGGTGCATCAATTGTGATGGTGCTGGTGGTTTGACTTGCACAACATGTCAAGGAAGTGGCATTCAACCTCGGTACCTTGATCGCAGGTGAGCTATCATTCTTTACACGTCTTACCACACACACAAAAAGAAAACTTAGAAACACGACTTCTGTTTGAGTTTTCTATGATAAAGAGAACTTAGAACTCAATCTTGGAGAAACAAATACTGATGGTGTCATTTTCTCTTGGACAGGGAATTCAAGGACGACGATTAGATATGGAACATTTATGTTCATCCCCTCTCTCTGCCTTTCTCAGTTTTCACACATTCCTTTCACCTTCTGTTCTTACATGTAATCTTTAACAAGTTGAGCAATACATGATTTCAATACCAGCTTTGTCCAATTACTAGATGTTGTAAAAGAGCCAAAGATAGTGTGTTTGAAGTATAGTTGAGGCAATGAAATGGAGCAGTTGTGTGTATTGCATTTTTAAAAAAATAAAAAATGTAACATCTTGTAAAAATAAATTGGAGATTAGAAATGGAACATAGCCATTGGAATTCTCTTTCTTTTCTCAAATTTAATTTAAGTTATATATACCGTTAGTGTGAGTAATTTTTTACAACCATTGGCCATTGGGTCATACAAATGATATATACATGTAAGATTTTATAATAGATGAGATTCAAAATCTTAAACTAAAACAGGTTATCTGCTACAACATGTAAATATGACTTTATGGATTGACATGATATTACTCAAAACTCTTAAAATAAAATAAGCATGAAAAGAATATAAAAAAATACACACAATTGTTTAATTAAAAAAAAAAAAGGTACTTCTCGAATGGTCATTCAACTAAACGAAAATACGAACTAATTTTTTTTTTAAAAAAAACAATCGTCGACAGCAGGGTTCGAACCTGCGCGGGCGAAGCCCAACAGATTTCAAGTCTGTCTCCTTAACCACTCGGACATATCGACTTTTGTTTCAAACTCTACAAATTATTGAGTAAATCCAAATTTTCAAATTTACAAGTTTTCACTAGGGTTTAAATTCATCGTCTCCCTCGTCCCAACTGGAAAAAAGAACTGCTTCCTCTGTATCTCGTAGTGGAACTTGTGAATCAGCATCACTAATTTGAAGTATATTTTGGATTAAAAGTGAAGTGAAGTGAAGTGAAGGGAGAATCATGCTGTATATAATTGGTCTTGGATTGGGGGATGATAAAGATATAACTTTGAAAGGTCTTGAAGCAGTAAAAAAATGCAGCAAAGTATACATGGAAGCTTACACTTCACTTCTCTCTTTTGGGCTTTCTCCAAATGGTCTTTCCAATCTGGTTCGAAAAAAGCTACTGTCTTTTCTTGTACTTTAATTTTCAGTTAGTGAAAAAAAAGTGATTTTGATGATAAAGTTTTGGTCTTTTTTTCAGGAAAATCTTTATGGAAGATCAATTACACTTGCTGATAGGGAAATGGTAGAGGAGAAAGCTGATGAGATCCTTAATGAAGCTAAATCTTCTGACGTGGCTTTTCTAGTTGTTGGTGATCCTTTTGGGTATTCTTCATTTTTTTGATATGCGTATTTATTTGGATAATGAAGACCCTTTTGGATATTTAACTTTTAGTTGGTGTCAATTTTTTATCTTGCTTGGGATAGAAGGTTAGTAGTTAGGCGAGGGTTGTCTTGCTTTCCTACAGGTTAGTTTGGGGTAGTATGGCTCCTGTAGCTGTTTCTCCTTTGGTATCAGCAGAATTAGCAGCTTTTTGCCTAGTTTCTTGTCTTGCGGTTTATGTTGCTACCCTTTGTGTCTTGTGTTTTGGTAATCACATGACTTTGTTGCTGTTACTTTGTTGCTTCCCTATATGCGATGATGCTTACTCCGGTACATGTTGTATTTCTTTCCTTTTGTATGTTCTTTGATATGCGTTAATTGAGTCGGGGTCTTTTGGAAACATCCTCTCTACCTTGTAAAGTAGGGATAAGGTCTGCGTACACCCTACTCTCCCCAGTATTAGCTCAGTACTTGTTTCTTTGTTCAATCTTGTTTCACTTTGTAGTGGTCAATTTTGCAAAGAAGTAGATAGGTTATGAATGGCTGTACCTATTTTTATCACCTAGATTTTGTAAAATCGAGAACAATAATTTGCTGCTTCTTTAAGTTTATATCATGTGCTAGCAAATCATTGAACTTTGTTGCAAAATACCAAGTAAATTATCAGTAATTTATCCTTCAAAGTTTGGAAGAGTGTTTGGAATAAGGACCTTCGTATTGTTTTAAAAACTATGTTAATGCATTTCTCTTTCAATATTAGCTATGCCTTCTATTTGGAACCTTAATTGACAGTTGAAATCGCTTATAAGAGAAATCATGTAAATGTTATGTCGAGATTCTCATTCCAGGATACGCAGAAGTATGGGATGACTTGTGAAATTTCTCTAAAATGATGAACTTTGTTGATTTATGTTAGCAGAGGCCTAATTGGGTAATCTTCCTTGGGAGGAGAATATTTTCAAATGTCTTGTTTTGTTTATGGATTTAATAAAGAAGTAAAATTACAAAGATGGTTCTTTTCATGTTGACCCGTAGATGTTCTTTCACTTATCTACTTCCTTTTCTCTCCATCATATGTCAATTTTCAATACAGAGCCACAACCCACACTGATATTGTTGTCCGTGCTAAGAAGCTGGGTGTGGATGTTAAGGTGATACACAATGCATCTGTGATGAATGCTGTTGGAGTGTGTGGCTTACAGCTCTACCATTATGGAGAGACAGTTTCCATACCGTTCTTCACTGAGACCTGGAGGCCTGATAGTTTCTATGAGAAGATTAGAGAAAACCGAAAGCTTGGACTACACACACTCTGCTTGTTAGGTAAGTGGCTATTTAACTACTTTGTTTGTTCTTATATTTGTGGTGTCTGGGGCAACTTCTGCCACCTGTGACTAAACGACTGATCAGCCTATTCAGTTCACTGGCACATGTTATCAAGGTAATCTTGCCTGTCAAGGTTATCATATGGGCACACAGAAAATGTGCAGTTGGCATAACATCCTGTTACTCCCATGCTACTGCAGTGACAATACCGTAGGGGAGGTTCCATGGAAAATAGCTTGATGCAAGGATGATAAAAAGCTTAATGACTCTCATTCTTCTTACTTCCTCAACCAATAGACCATCCCCAATTTGGCTTCATCATGAGTAATGTGTTACCATACATATGACAATAAATTTTCAGTTGCCATTCTTCCCCCTTTTACCAATCAGTTGATGGTCTTTCATCAGTTGACGGTCTTTCATCTTTTGCTTCTTAGTGGAATATTTTCACCCAGCATACTTCTGGACTAGTTTTCAGAGGGTTCGTTCTCAACCATTAAACACCATTGTAGTGCTAGCAATGGATAGTTGGATACGCCACATGATATTAGATGTTTCTAGTTAAGTTTATGTATTACTTTGCTGGTGACTTGTGGGGTTACAGAAGTACTTGATCGATCTTCTATTGTCTTGTTTTTTGTGCAGCATTCTCCATTTAATTGCATCTTCATCTTCTGATTTGCAGATATACGAGTGAAAGAACCCACCATTGAGTCTCTTTGCAGGTTAGACTTCAATATTGTTTCCATTTATTCTTAGGCGAATTACTTGAAGTGGTATGTGACCCTGATGTTATTCTCAGAGGAAAGAAGCAGTATGAACCACCCAGGTTTATGACAGTTAACACAGCAATCGAGCAGCTCTTAGAGGTTGAAGAAGCCCGTGGAGAATCTGGTATGTTCACGAGTTTATGTTTTTGCTTGACAAAATGGTACTCCTTCATCAGAAGCTATCTTGGCTCTCTGGCAATTTGCTAGTATTAGACTTCATCCTATTTCTTTGGGGGGGTTTTGGGTAGGGATGAGGGGCTGGACTGTTAATAGCCTATTTCCCTTAGTTTGCCCAAGTTTGCAGTACTTCACTACGTGTGATCAAGATGTGATTTACTTAATACAGAATTTGAAGACCTGTCCTTGTGAGACCCCCCCTTTGTGTTTAATTCGACATAAATCTCATTTACAGTTCAAGCATTCTCTCTTCTTTAGCGAAAAACAGAATCCGTACTGCTTCTGTAAATGTTCACCAAACATGCCTGTACAACATCCCTATGATAATTTCCCTCGACATGACTAAGAGAGGTTGCAAGTCATTTTCCTGTTTTTATGAGCTCAATCTGAAGCGAACTAGTATGATAATGGATATGGTTTAGATATGCCTCTAACCTACGCCTCATTTACAAATATCAATATGACATACTTTTTGTGTATAATTGACATCTGGTCTTGTTTTAGTCCTGGCTTTGTGGAATTTATAGTTATAAAGAACGTTGTTTGACATTTATAGTGACTAATGTTTCATTTTGCTTCACGTTTTCAAAATTACAGTATACGGTGAAAATACAATTTGTGTTGGTTTTGCACGGCTGGGGAGTGAAGACCAGAAGGTGGTTGCTGGTTCAATGAAGCAACTTCTAACAGTCGACTTTGGGCCGCCATTGCATTGCTTAGTCATAGTTGGCAAAACACACCCTGTTGAAGAAGAAATGCTGGAATTTTATGGGCTTTAGAAAACTTATCACAGGATTGCAATAGCAAATGTTGTATTCCTGTGTTGCCTTTGTACCATTCCATTCTTTTTGGTGACTATTTATTTAGGCATTAGATGACTATGATATATATTTTGCTTTGTAAACTCTTCCCATCTGCAAGTGACTTGACATATTTTCAAGAATTCTTGAATTTAAGATTGTTGGTTATTTTTGTTATCTTTCACAAGTATTCTTAATACATTATATCAAATATTTTGGTTTGCAAGTAATATGGTCTTCCTTTTTTTACTTTTTCTCGGGAGCTTCCATCTTTTTGCTTTATTGGTGATTCGAATCCACAACCTTCAGGTTGAAGGTGGTTTTTTCTTCTTCACCCCTTCCTATGAGCTCCCACTTGCTCCCTTGTTTGAACCTATGATCTTAAGGTTGATGGTAGAGAATGCTTACCATCTGAACAACCCATCTTGTCAAGTAATAGCAGTCCTTTGTGTAACTATTTGTACACACTATGATTCATGATTCATGGTTGGCTAATGCTGATGAGTTGGGGAACATCTAGGTAAAATGTCTTTTCTTCCAACCAATAGAAAATTAAATGGAGAAATCTGATTAATGAGGAAAAATTAAATCTGGTTAAATGTTTCATTCATATTATATCATTTTTTATTTTTTTTTAATGTGAATTGCTAATATGTCATAATTAACTCCTTTCAATTATATTCCCAGTTTCCCATCAATGCTACCAGAACTTATGTTAGGTGTAACATAAAGTCTAGTGCATTAATTGATTACACCATGCAAGGAACTCTATTTATTGTAGTTGTTGGATGTATAGCAATAGTGAAACAATAAAGACAATGACAGTTTACTGATAAATTGTTAAGTAACAACTCATATTACCGTCTAAATGGCCAGAAAATTTGGCCAGAATTTGATCAGAAATTTTAAAAAATTATAATATTTTTTTTTATTTTAAAATAAACTGATCTCTTTTACTTTTTACTAATATACATATTATTGTGAATTAACTTGACTCTGTAAGGAATTGTGTGCTTGAAGTGATAAATAAGACTGATTCAATGATGTGGTAATAAACGGAATGATCTGAGATATTCTTATACTCGTTCTAAACTATCATTTTGATTTCATCTCGATCCAATGAACATGATCAAAACAAGTATTTTAAACGCAGAACTTTACATATTACTCAATCGCAACTCCATGTTAGATAAATATATGCCACATCATTATTATTATTTCGTCTAAGTGTTTGGATGAAACTCCATGAAGTACGTGACAATCACGAATCATTAATTTTTTAATTTTTCCTTTTTTAAACTTATGAGTGGACAATTGCCAAGTATCAAATTACAATATTTCTTTTTCTTTTTGTGGCCAACTGACACTACTAATGTTAAGTAGCTTTCGATGCACATGAAGTACCAATCGAATAAAATTACGATTTGCCCCAAAATACCCCAACAAGGCAACAACATTTTAATTAATTATGTTTAATAATAACCCAATCATTTGATTGGAAGTTCTAAAAAAAGAACCCCAAGATTTCATAAGAAAGCTTACTATAAAATTGTATATATATATATATATATATATTTGTTTTCCATCATTGTGTGCTTAATAATAACCCAATCAGAAAGTTTGGACTGATTCAAATTTTCATCTAGAAGTAAAGAACTTTCAATTAATGACGATTTAATTCTCAAAATTTAAATATGCCATCTATAGTGTTTAAAATAAAGAAGGTTTTAATTAGTTTTGTATTCAAAATAGTTATTATTTTATTAATTATTAATTCTAGAGAAACCAATAAAAAAATTCTTCCATTAATCTTATAAATTAATTGCCTCATTAGTTTAGAATGCTAGGTATTCTACTTATTTTGAATAATAATAATATTGATATAATTTCGTTTCGTTTTTTTTTTTTTTAAACTTTAGAATAGAAATATGTGATCACTTAGACTTCTTATTCAAGATCTAACACTAGAGTACTTTTTCTTTTTTTTTTCAAAGTCAAGCACTATTAACGGAAGATCAAGAATAATCGAGTCAACCAATCACAAAATTTATGATTTGAGTCAAAGACTATGTTTCTATCATACCAACAAAAAAAAATGGCAAATTAATTTCAATTTGATACCCTCCTTATATTTCTACTATCCAAACTTGGTCTAAGGATTTTTTTATTACATTTTCAAAGGTGGTTGGTTAAGATTTTCCTAAAACCAAAGTCAATTATTTTCCTCCCTAAATCTCTCAAAAAACCAAAAAAAACAATGGCATAATCGTCATTATTCCAAATTGTGAAGAAAAACATCTTGAATCTGAAGACAAAATAATCATCATCTTCATAAGAATATTGTCGGTGCCCTGTTTTATCCCTCATCTACCTCAAATCTCTCCTTTTAATTAACCATTTTCATTCTCCACCCTAAATTTTCTCCATTATTTTCTTCTTCAATCTCTCCAAATTTCTTCTTCTTTTGTATTCTTTTCACCTGCATTGCCTATCAAAAAGAAGAAGTTTTTCAGCCATATAGTCCCGCATTGTTGTATGCGGGATCATTAAATCAGGTTTTAAAACTTACCCTTTTTTCTCATTTTCTTCATTTAATTGATATTTGTTTGAAAAGATTAAATTTTTATGAGATCTGAATGATAAAGATTGAATTTTTATGGTTTCTTGATGATAATTGCGCAGGTAAATTTGTTGAGGTGAATAAGGATGGGAGAGAAATCAAAAAAAGGGGGTTGGTGTGGATGGATTATAGCTTTGATAGTGGCTGCTGCGGCTGCTGGAGCCATTGTGGTACTTGTTATGAAGAAGCATAAAGATTCTAGCTCAGATGCTGCTTCTGAAAAGAAATATGGAGATGCTCTGAAAATTGCAATGCAGTTCTTTGATGTCCAAAAATGTAAAGTCCCTTGTGATATTTTGAAGTTGGGTTTTGTGTTTTGTGATGTTTTGTGCTTGTTATTTGGATATCCTGTTGAAAGATTTTCATTTTTCATAAATGCAGCTTACTTGTTTGATATAGTACTGAAAAGGAGTAAATTTTTAGTTCTTTCCATTTTTTTAAAATACATTTTGTTGTGGTGGCTGTTGTTTTTTCCATAATGTTTGTTATGCTTTCTATAGTATTTTGTCATGATTTCATTTGCTTTAGTTGTCTCCAGACTCCACTTGTAGGATTACATTGCGAATGTTGTTGTTGTACATTTTGTTTCTTATACTGTTAATTATATCCAAGATTTGTGTTGTGTCAAAATGGTTTGGACATTTCATATGGATGTTGCATTTCATAATGTCTTGAATGTTCATTTCGCTATTTGCTAAAGATTTTATATTTATGTTGGTGGCTAAACTCTTAGTTTAAGTGGCATTTCAATTTTTCTACTATTAAAGTCGGTAAGATGATGGATCGTCACTAATGCCCTATGAGGCAAAGTTGTTCAGACTCTCAAAATTGTTGCCGCACCTGTGTCAGATCCTCCAAAAATGCACTACTTTTGGAGGAGGATCTGATATGCGCCCGTCGACATTTTTTGAAGAGTCCGAGCAGCTAGCTGTGAGTATTGTCTTGCCTGCACGCTGCTGCAGAAGGATTTGTGGTGAAAGTGTACCTATGGGATGAGTGAGGTTAATGAACTTATTAGCTTTCTAAGCTGTGTCCTGAAATGTACCCTATAGGATGAGTGAGATTAGGGAACTTATTAGCTGTCTAAACTCTGTCTCCTTATAATGCAGAACAAGGTCCAAATGTGCTGGTATCATTGCCTTGTCTGCTTCCAATGTTAGACGAGGTCCCATGGTCATGATATCATGGATTCAGTGTATTGTTATCAAACTTGGCAAAGCTCTTTTCAAAAAACAAAAAAGATCGTTGAAAAACTTAACCATTCATCTTAAGTTACTTAAAAGCAAAATCATGACTTCATGTCTTCATCAGAGTTAATGGAGAATGCTGGAAGTAGTTCACCATAGAAAGTGACATTGCTTATTGTAACTTGTTTTCTTGGAAACTTTTCTAGTTTGTTCTTTTGAATATATCTGTTGGGCTCATTTTCATAAGGGTAAAATCTCATAATGTTTCAGCTGGGAAATTGGTAAATAATAAGATACCATGGAGAGGCGATTCAGCCATCAAAGATGGAAGTCAAGAAAAGTTAGACCTCAGTCAAGGAATGTATGATGCTGGCGACCACATGAAATTTAATTTCCCAATGGCTTACACTGCCACTGTGTTGTCATGGGCCATCCTTGAGTATGGTGATCAGATGAAAGGTGTGGGCCAGTTGGAACCTGCTCAAGACTCACTCAAATGGATTACGGACTATCTTATCAATTGTCATCCAAAAGATAATGTTCTTTATATTCAGGTTTGTCTCAGTTTTCACTTTCTAGTACGCTTTTCTTGCTGCTGCTGCATTCAAGACTTGTAAGCTTCCTTTATCCTTCCTTCCCTCTTTATGCTACAAATTTGTTTGACGCATGCTTTTAATGTCTGAATAGCTTGCTGGAATGTGGGACTTGGGTCTTACTTTAGGAAGAGTGCTGATATTTAGAGACCTCCATTGTGAAACTTCCTTGTTCTTAACGGAAATTATTTACACGAATTCAGGTTAAAGTGAAAACAAGGAAATTGACCTAGTCTTAGGTCACAGAGCAAGAACAAGTTTGCATAATGGATTTAGTAAAAGAGTTCATGTAGTATATTACTACATTTTTCATGGTGCAGAGGAGAAATGTCTTTATTTCATGTTTTTTGCCTTGTATTTAGTATTTAAAGCTAAGGGTTTACACCGTTTAATACAAGTGATTTGATAAGATGTCGATATGTATTTTCTAATGTGAAAAGAAAGATGTCTAAGCTCCAGTTCATCTCATCATGACATTTCCATTTCTTGTCAATATCATATAGGAGAAATTGAGTTTGCATCAAGTGGTCTGGTTCATATTATATTTGACTTTTTTAGTTGTTCAACAATGCTTATCTCAGTTTTTGAATGTGATAATCAAATGTGTCTTAGTGTTTGTTTCACAAGCTAGACTCTTTGGCAGGTGGGTGATGCTAATGCTGACCATAAATGTTGGGACAGACCCGAGGACATGACTGAGGCGAGGCCTCTTATTCAGATAAATGCTTCTACCCCTGGAACAGAAGTTGCAGCTGAAACTGCAGCAGCTATGGCAGCAGCATCCCTGGTGTTCAAGTCGAAGAACTCAGGATACTCAAGTAACCTTCTTAAGCATGCTAAACAGTTGTTTACTTTTGCTGATAGATATAGAGGTACCTACAGTGAAAATATTCCTGAAGTCGCAACATATTACAATTCAACTGGATATGGAGATGAGCTCTTGTGGGCAGCAAGTTGGCTATATCATGCAACTGGGGATCAAACATATTTTGATTACGCGACTGGGAAAAATGCAGATTCTTTTGGTAATTTTGGAAATCCAACTTGGTTTAGCTGGGATAGCAAGCTAGCTGGTACTCAGGTATTTTTACTTTGCGTATGAGATGCCTGAGTGCTTCTGGTATTAGGTTATTAGCTTACTCATGTCTGAATGCTTCCTAATAATTGATTTACAAGCAACTATATCTGTGAATCCAGCTGTTTGAAAGTCCAAGAGGAGCTATAGAAAGTTATTAAATGGACCAGTTTTATCTTGGTATATTTAAGCAGTGTGTCTATTGGATGTGAGTTTCTCACTTTGTTGTTGTTGTTTCACAATGGAACTATTCAAAGCAAACAACTTGAATAAGTCAATTACTGCCTTTTTCATTCTAAAAAAAGAAGTCAATGGCTGCTTTTGTTGCAGGTTCTTTTATCCCGGGTCAGCTTCTTTAATTCCAAAGTCTCAAACTCGGACACACTTCAAGAGTATAGGAAAACTGCAGAAGCAGTAATGTGTGGTCTCTTACCAAAATCTCCGACAGCAACATCCAGCAGAACTGATAGTAATGACCCATCTAAGCTTCTTTTATTAAGCTCTATTTGCTTTCTTCCTGTTTTCTTCCCTATCAATGAGCAGATACTTGCATTTTTATTTTAAAAGTGTCGGAGTTGCATACGTCAACATATTACAAACTTACACTGGAAATGTTTCATTAAGAGTAGGGAGAAGTCCTCTTTACTTTCTTAAACTCTGTGCCAGGTCAAAACCAATTAAACAAATTGAAGCGGAAGGGGTAACTGCTAGGATCTGTTTTTTTATTGTTCTGCTAGGACCTTTGTTTCTTGTTGATAAGTAATACTACTATTAGAATCTTATCCATCCATAGTTCAGTAGTTTTCGTTATGATCGGGAAAAGGAAAGGATCACTTTCTTTCCTCATTAAGGAATAAATAATGCTTCTATATTTTACAGATTGAACCTATGTTTTTTTTCCTATTTCACTCTCTGTAATTGCTTGTGATATAGAAGACAAATGTTATAAGTGATGATTGAAACATAAAACGAGTGAAGATGTCTGAGTAGTAAATAGAAAAAGCTAAAAATCTGCCCCTAGCTAGAACTAAATTCAATGAAGTCGAGACAGAAACAACTGGTACTTAGTCTTTGTTATTCATTTTAAGCAAATGTTAATGCAGGTGGTTTGATATGGATAACTCAATGGAACGCGTTGCAGCATCCTGTAGCCTCTGCCTTCTTAGCTGTGGTGTACAGTGATTATATGCTCACTTCCAAGACTAAAAAAATGACTTGTGATGGTAATGAATATACACCATCTGATCTCAGAAAGTTCGCCATGTCCCAGGTGCATTTCTTGTCTTTCTAATTACAGAGAAGACATTTTTTTTGTATACTTAATATTATGCTTATCAATAAGCTTAATTACAACACCAGCTATTTGAATCCTTCCTCGTGTCACTTCATTTAAGCTCATTCTAGTCCAATATTATGAAAAATAGATCTTAATATAAAAATAGAAGTACTAGAGTTCTCTATACTTACTATTGGTCTGTACATTTCTGAAATGACTAATAGATTTCTAGAAAAAAATAATTCCAACTATTTGGTATTGCCTATATAGATCATTTTCCTCCGCTCCGCCTTATATTTTGCTAGGTCTGTTTTAGATTTTAGTAGCTAACAATTTTGCAAATGTACCCGACCTTTTCTAGGCCAATTATGTATTGGGCGACAATCCAGCAAAGATGAGTTATCTCGTAGGCTATGGGGACAAATATCCACAGTATGTTCACCACAGAGGGGCTTCCATTCCTACAGATGCCGATACTAATTGCAAAGAAGGTTGGAAGTATCTAGACTCAACTGAACCAAATCCCAACGTTGCAACTGGAGCCCTCGTTGGTGGTCCATTTCTTAATGAGACATATATCGATTCAAGGAACAACTCGATTCAAGGAGAGCCAACCATATACAATAGTGCTGTCATTGTTGGCCTTCTTTCTGGTTTGGTTTCCACTTCCTCAGTGGTTCAGTCTTTCACCTGAGCTGGATACCACCTTTTCATTCGTATGCCACCTCACGTTGTACGTCTCTTATTGTACGTAGATGCATACATATTTTTTTTATTTCTTGTAGCTCCTTGAACACATAAAGGTTGCATTATATATATATATATGTATGTTAGTGTGTAACACATCAACTGTTCTAGTGTACTAATATCAAATATATGTGCTGAACAGGCATAAGAGTTTTTGTAGTATTACTTTGCTCAAAATTCGTTATGCAAACTATCTCGTGTTGTGGCCATAATTGTTGTGTCTGAGTCAGTTTGTGTGCACCTGGACTAACTAGTCATCTAGCTTTATTTCGATTTGAAAGAACAAAGACCGGTCTCGGACACCACTTTGCTTTTTGCCATTTAATCTGTTAAATCTTGTCAACACATTCTCCATTCAAAACATCATATGAAAACATGATTTGAGTTTTCATGGAAGTTATCAAGATGTTAATTGTCCAATTCAAGTTGATGTGAAAGAGACCAAAACCAAACATAGTACATAGGTGTCATTCCACTATGAAGGTAAGGTAATCCCAAAATATGAAAGTGTATACATGATTGAACAAAAAGAACACTTTTTATTTTGGGCATCAATCAGTATACCAACTAAGTCAGCAAAATGGATAGGTCTGTCCATCTATGCAATCAAAACTGTTTTTTGTTGTACCCTTATCTTGTTTCTGGCTTTGGTGCTGTTAACACTATGCATATGTTGAAAAGTTAAAAGAAGGGACACTATCTCATGTTGTGCTGTGTTATCTCATAAGTCTTTTCGCTGCAGGTTTATCTGAACTCATAATTTTTAACATATAAATATTAATATATATATATATATATATATGTAAGAACCTATTAAAATATTAAATTTAAACTCATAATTTTATCAGTATAAAGGAATTTGTTGAACTCATTAATTAAAATTCTGAATTCGCCTAAGATTAATATACATTCTTCCACCTAAATTTGTATATACATGTAACATGTTGGCCATATGCAAGAGAACAACTTTGGGAGAAACTATTTATAGACTTAGCCCCACTCTCCTCAACTTCCAACAATTTTTTGACACTTTGATTTCTACTTTTCATAGTGGACTTTGAAAATCCCTCTTCTAGTATTTTTTTTTCTTAGAAAGAAAGTCCAAAATTAAGTTGTTCTTTTATATTATGTAAAAAAATAAAAATATTCTTACCTACATCATCCATGGTACTTGCCTAAGTTTTTGGATCTTGATGTAACACAACCTAATTACTATTACTTTTTCCTCATAAATCATGTGGTATGTCTCTCTCACAAAATCTCATATCATGCCCATTAACAAACGAAAAATATAGTCGTACTCAAGTATAATAACAAAAATTTGAAATCATAATAAAAATTCAAATAAGATATAAGAATATCCTAACTTGAAATTCAAACTTTAAATTTGTACCATTTTTTTAATTCATTCTTGACGCTATACTAAAGCTTCTCATATGTCAAGGTGATTCAACAATTATAAAAAAAAAAAAAAAAAAAAACTGTTTTCTTTGTTGCTTGTGTAATTTTTTGATGAAGAAAATTTAATCGAACTCCTTCCCACCAAATGAAAGTAACAAGAATTTGTTCCAAAATATATTAATATTCATTTCATAAGATAACCTTACACGTTTTACATTAGAGTAAACACAATTAACTATAGAATAACAAAGAAATTAATGTACATTACCAAACAATCATATACAGACAGAGAAAATAAAACAATTACTTGTACTACATCAACTTTTTCCTGTTTTAATTAGGCATTTGATTTGCCTAATGGACAAAAATGAATCAACACTAAACAAATTAATTACGTAATATATTTTTTTTTCCTTAAAACTAATTATAAACAGCAAGTTAAAAGTGCTGTAAAGCTACTAATTATATATTAATTAATTCTCTGAAGCTTTTTCCCATCAACATCTTACCTTATGGTAATTAAGTCATAATTGATGAATTTAAGTCTTCAAAGAAATTTACTACATTTTTCTCTATAAATATATATTAAATCTACCCATCATTTGAATATTCAACGAGCAATTTCCAATTTTGTTGTTGTGTAGCCAAGTTGTTGCTCCATTTCCCAACTCAATTTTGGTGCCACCCCATTATGCTTTGGGACATAATCCTATAAATAAAAACCATTCAACATGTAAAAAAGGCAAATTCAAGATTTTAAGTCAGTAAATGAATAGTATCGTCATATGTATGCGATGAATCATGAATAGTAAATTCGAGATGTTGATTTTAAAATTTTAAGTCAGTAGATGCACAATATCATCATAAGAGCGTGCTGAATCATGAATAGTAACTCGGTGAATACATAATATCGCCTACACAAACATAATGATTCATGAGTTCAAGATTTTAAGTCAGTGGATGCATAATAATATCGCGCCAAACGAGCATGATGAATGATGAGTTGTACCTCAAGCTTAGACATGAGTTCTTGGGCAGTTGGGGCAGAAATAATGATGTGACGGGCAGAGGGTGTGACAAAGCCTTCATCAACAGCTTTGTCTATAAATGACAATAATGAATTATAGTAGCCATCTACATTAAGTAAACCTACCTGCATATTACGTAAATCACACGTTAAATTAGTTATCTTAAATGGCATTAATAATTAATTGTTGACATTAGAGACTTCAAGAGAACAATTCTTATGGTCCTACTTTAATTAAAACGAAATTTCTCTTAATCAAATCTATATTATCTGTCTTTTAAAATTCGCGATCAGACATAGTAATTTACTAGTCTATACACACTTATTAATTAGACAAAAGCAAAATAGTGGGTATATTATCTGTCTTTTAAAATTCGCGATCAGACATAGTAATTTACTAGTCCATACACGCTTATTAATTAGACAAAAGCAAAATAGTGGGTATATTATCTGTCTTTTAAAATTTGCAATGTAATTTATTAGTCGATACGCGCTTATTAATTAGACAAAAGCAAAATAGTGGGTATATCATTAGTCATTAGTGATTAAACCTAATTTGTCATTAAATAAAACAAAAACAGATGAGTAAAAAACAAGAAATCGTACTGGTTTATCATGAATGCCTAGTTGAGCCCAAGTGATGACTTCTAGGAGTTCTTCCAATGTCCCATAGCCACCTTCCAAAAATTAATAAATCGATTAGCTGTCTCCCAAATAGCGACTGATGTGAAATTAATAAAATCTAACATTGTAATTTTTGTTGATAAGGAAATTCTCAATTGATAGACGTGAATCTTGAGTTCGACTTAAAAAGCATCCAAGGGATTTCAATTTAATTTTGAAAGATCATCTGCTCAGCTAACTCGATCAACTTAGCACTGTAATTGACTAAGCTTGTTTTTGACTATTTCAATACTTGTGACATAGTTTGGGTTGTCAACTTACTTTGTTGATTGATACATGTGACAGCAACTAAAAGGCTATGATTAATAATTTTTTTAAAATCAAGATTTATAAAAAGTATAAAAATATTTTAGCAAAATGATTAAATTAAATTTTTAATTTTACCTGGTAAGGCTATGAATGCGTCAGCTTGTCTTGCCATTTCTGCTTTTCTTTGATGCATTCCAGACACTGCTCTTACTTCTCCAACACTTTCTCCGGTAATCTATAAATTTTAAAAATATCATTAAAAACAGAGTTAAAAAAATAAAATTGAATCGCATTGTGAAAGAGTCTAGTCTTTAGAGTCGTTAAAATAGGCTTGGCCTATAAGGTTGGCTCAATACATACCAAAAATTGGGTGTCATGACGAACTAGATCAGCTTATTTTAACGACATATTACCACAGTTTGATTGGACCAACTAAACGGTAGTTGGACCAACCAAACCGTGGTAATACATGTATATTATTAATATATCCAAATATAGATACTAGTCACACAATTAATTGGAGAACATAATTATTATTATCTATAGAAATGGTTATTATTATTGTTCAAAGGTTAAAAAGACAAATTACTCTCTTGGCATAAGAGTTTTAGGAATCACCCTGTCAAGTGAAAAAAAAAACTTTTATATTAGTGAAGAAGTTTTTATTATTATTTTATTAAAAATAAAATAAAAATATTGGTACCCTAACACGTGGCGGCCACCATTAAAAACTGATTGAGAAACTAGGCCCATCAAGCCAACACTGCCACCTCCATAAACCAAGTCGATGTTCCTTTCAACCTGACAAATAATATAATATATAGTTTAAATTTATAATTATGAGACAAGTGTTTTTTTTAATATATTTTTAATTAGGACAAAACATTGCTTGTCTAAATTGCTTACTCCACTATATTCAACGTGAACCCCATTTAATTAAAAAAAAAAATACTCAAGTTAATCTTACTCATCACCTACTATAATTTTGTAACATCAAATAATTAATCCAACGTGATTTCTTAATATGCAAAGCCCACAAAAAAAAAGAGAGGAATTATTGAATTACAATTTATTTTTTTAACTTTAATTCCGTTTTTTCTATTTTATAATCAATAGTATAGTTGAAAATTTAAGTACTTGGAATTCCATACATCTTGCAAAATCATAGGAATTTCAAGAAAAAAAAATGATAATCCCCCAAAAACAAGAACAAAAGAATTATGTGATTTATACTGCAAGTAAATATATCAGGTGATTTCTTTTCATTTATGTTATCTGATTGATTAAAAAAAGAATTGTGTGATTTAAGGATAATTAGTCTCTGTTTTTAATGTCTAAATTTATTTTCATGCAATTGTAACTCGTAAGGAAAATGAAACGAAATGAATTTAGAATTTAGAGTATACGAATTTTAAAAAATGTAATCTTATGATATGTATACATAATTCAGTTGAACTCAGAGAATCCGTACCAGTTGATTGCCAAGTTGAATAGCAGCAAGTTGATAACTTGGTTTTTTGCCTGGACTGCTTCCACAAAAAACACATATGCGTTTGAATCTTGATGTTTTAGTGGCCTGAATTTGTGTCTGGTGATTGTTTTCCATTATTTACGTGACGTAAATCGTACTAAGCAAATTCGATGCGATGAGTTCGATTGAAAAAGGGAGAGGGGAACAGAAGGAATTTTAGAGAAAAAAGAGAGTTTGAGTCAGCAATTATCTTTGAAATTGAAGAATTAAGCAGAGGAGGCAAAGAGGGGAATGTTGATGTGAGAAGAAAATGCTATTATTGGTCCTTTTTTATATACACTTTCCGCCTATACTTTTTCATCATTTTTACTTACCCCATGTTTTTGGAATTTGGGTATATTTTATTCTTTATAATTAACAACAACAAAAAAGAAGAAGGAAGATGCTAGTTATTTGCATCGTCTGTATAGGTAGAGTCAAGATTTTTAATTTTTAATTCTAAATAATATATCATTGTTACTTTTTGAATGAGTACAACAAAGAGGTGTAAATTTCATTAAGTAAATTCAATGTGATTAGTTCGATTCAGAAGGATACCAAGTGAGATATCCCTTAGCACCTTTTTGGGATAGCACTAAGACGACTTAGATTCGATTTGATTCATGATTTTCCTTTTGGATACCTCTGCTATACAACTCAGTTATTCCTTCAGTTGATCGTAAATTTCTTACTAACTTGATTCTAGATAAATTATTTATGTCTATCGAACACATAGCTTAAATAGTGATTCTACATCTACATACGAGGATGGTCAAAAGATCACAATTTAAATAGTAAATCTCTAATGAATTTGTACAACTTTCTTTAAAATAAATCATGTTGGGAGAGATAAAAAGACAATTTAATAAAAGTTTATATTTGGAGAAATAAATAAAAGAAATTACTAGAGATAAATTGGAATTCTAAAAAATGCAAAAAATTGTCACTTTCAACCTAAAGGTAAAGAAGGTGCAAGGAAATTCAAGGTTGTGTGGTGAAGAGGGTCCACCTATGGCAACGGTGAAGTAACAAGTTTTATTCTTTTGATTTATCTAGATAAATTTATATCGTCAATTAAATATAATATAAATTTTATATCAATTTTAATTTTGAAATATTTTATCTTGTTCTGTTTAAGAAATAATATCTGAGTCTAATATTTTAAACATGTTATGTGATTGCTGAAATTAAAATAATCAAATACTAAATATAGAAAAAATATATTCATTTGAAATTTAAATAATAATAATAATAATAATAATAATAATAATAATAAATACAAGCACAAGGAAGAGTCGTAGAGAATGAATTTTTATGAAATTAGGAACCATGCTGTCTCTTTTATTATTTTTGTCGGTTTGTGTATTATTATTGTATAAAATAAGAAGTTTATACTCCTTCTTCTGTCCCTATTTACTTGTCCACTTTTGAATTGACACATTTATTAAGAAAATAATTAATGACATAATGAATTTATCATTTTACCCCTATTAATTATGAAGTAGATGAAAAGTTCTATATTTTTCAAAGTAATTAGTCATTTAATTAAGGGTATAATTGGTAAAACAAAATTGTCCTTTCTTGATTTATCAAAATAAACAAGTAATTAGGGACAACTATAAAAAGAAAAGTGGACAAGTAATTAGGGACAGAGGGAGTATATTTGACGTGTTTATTCTCATCCATATATAATTGAATTGTGTACGGTTGTTTTTTCCTTAACTAAGCTATGTAGAATTGGTCATTAATAGTTGAAAGCAATTTCTTTTTTCGAAACTATTTGAAAGCAATTGATAATAAGTATTACCTTAAATTTAATTAGTTTCCCCACTTGAGCACCGACTTGTATAAATTTTCTCGTTTTATAAAATAGTATATATTTTCCATTTAACATAATCCACCACCGCATGATAATTCATTGCCTCTTAGCAGCATGAATGCTACATCCTAGATAGCGAAAGTCCAGTAGCTGAAAGCATCGATAACTTACGTATTCTATGCAATTGGAGGAGTCAAAGCTTTGACCGTGTGCTTGTTGAAGAATGAACCCAACAACTCATACATAATGACTTAGATTAAGAGAATTCACCAAAGGTCATAGCAAAATTGAATTTTTATGAAAAAATAAATGTATAAAGCTATTCAACTCGATTATACATTCTCAACTCTCTCAAAATAGAATCTACATGTCACTATATATCAAGTTTACACCAAAGCATATTTTCCTTTTAAAAGTTATTTGGTTAAAGAATATAAGATTTCAGTATACAACAAAAATTAACTCGTTTCATCTCAATTTGACTTTCTATTAGCCAAACTGAGAAAACTCTTAAACATATCTCACCACAAAAGAAATTTAATTTACTTAATATTAGTGAAAACTAAAGAACGGTGAGACATTTAAGTGTCATGAACATTTTATTTTATGAACTCGATGTAACACTTTCAGAAAAAAATAAAATCGCATATATGAATAGAAAAACTCTTAAATTATTTGTTCCTTCTATTACTTCCATTGCTTCTCTAATAATTTTATAATTATCCAAGACATTCCATTGAATGAATTTTTCTATCGAATGTTTCTTTTCCACATTTTGTACACATGAAATAAGAAAGTAGCATGATAAATTTGAAGTCAACTTAAATGTAACATTTTAAAATATATATATATATATATATTTTTAGAAGCCCACTAACGTCAAAAAGATAAACCACATACATGTATTAGAATAAAATAGTACAAAGAATTGATAACTATTTTGAAATTTATGTGTAAACACGTTTTAATTAATTTGAATTGATTTTACAATTTGGAATTAAAATGGAATGAAGAAAAATTAAAGATAAAAAGCAAAAGTTGAGACTTCTTTTTCTTTTTATTTTTTCCTAAAAGACTAACGGTCGCAGAGAATTATTATGAAATGGGCCAGGAAAAAGTGGGCCGGTTTTGCATTGTGTAGCGTCAATATCGTTTTCTTCGTTCCAATTTATGTGATATAATATAATTTGATACGAAATTTTAAAGAGAAAGAAAGACTTTGTAAACTTGTGATCTAAAATAAGTCATATAGATTTGTGTGTCTATAAATCATCTCATTAAGAATAAAATGGTCGTTAAAACTTAAAATTACATTATTACTAAATATAAAAGTGTCATTCTATTGAAAAACGATTAAAAAGAAAAGTGTGTCATATAAATCATCTCATTAAGAATAAAATGATCTTTAATTTTCACCTCACAAATTGATGGACAACATATTTCATCCCTACTTCTCGTTTAATAAAAGATTATGAGCTGAACCATCCTTAACTATGACCTAATTTCACAAGTAAAAGTTTTCTGTTGCCGTGTCTAACATAAGTTCTGTAATATCTAATTCACAAAAGATATTAAAGAATTTCTGCGATAAAAGTTTAGCAAATTAAGGAATATATATAACTTTCGTTAGTTTTGAAACTAAACTTATATACCTTGCAAGTTTATTTGTGGTGAATGTTGTCTTGCAATTTTCTTGTTTTTGGTCTTGTGACACATAATTTATGGATCATAAACTCCTCGAGAAATAATATTTTGAAACTGAACTTATATGCCGGACACTACCTTCTTTGACGGTGCCGTACGAAAGTCAAGTGTTAGTGAGTAGTCCTTTTTAATTGGGCCACAGCCCCTTTCATCTATTAGTAATTATCCAGCAATGCATTAAAAAGTCCTTTCAACCACATACTTCCATTTTAACACTTCTATATTTTCATTTTTATTTTTAAAAAAAACTTTTTAGTTTTTGGATATATCTTCTCCTAGTTGCATTTATTTATTATTAAAAACAAGGAAAAAATCATCAAAACCAAACATGTGTCTGCATGTTATATAGTTGATGATGTGTTCCAACTTATACAATAGTATTCAATGTAAAAAGGTAATTCAAAAAAGTAGTCAAAGGAATAATGGTTTAGCTCCTTCTAATAATAATCAATGACGAAGTCAGAATTTTCATTGAGTTCAAAATATATATAAAAAAATAAAAGCACATGAAAAGATCGAAGCAAGATCAACATCTACTATATATAATAAATAAATAATTTAAATCATGTAACTAGTGTAGTTTTCCGCTAAAGAGTATGAATCCTTACTAGCTTCTTCCCTGATAACAATGTATAACTAACCGAGGTTACGACTTACGATAGAGTGGTCAATAATAGATAGTTATATGAAGAGTAGAATGAAACTTGAGGTGCGTTTTGAAAAAAGAAAGACTTCAGTTAGACTTCATATATTATATCGCGCACGAAAAAGAGAAAAATCTACCTATTTTATGTTGCATCTCAACTCTCTTTGTATACTCGATTTCCAATTCATTTTCTTCCAATTTAATAAGTCAATTAGAAGGATAATTATTTCCAACTCTATGTATGATTTTCTGATAAACACTTATTTTAGTTTCCTTTTTTTCTTCCAAGAAATTTCCAATGTCAAAAGTTATATTTTGCTGGGCCTCTAAAAGTCTCTTTCATATAAGTTAATGGTCAATATTGTTTGTTCATTCTTACGTCTCTATCCTTTCATTTATTTAATTTTCATTCTAAAGTTTAAAGAGAAAAAAAATAGGTTTGATATTATAAAGTCGTATGAAACATTGAATTATTAAGACACGTCCGTCAAAAATATAATAATAAATGTAATAATAATTGGAATACTTAATTAGAAAGCAAAAGAAAGATATATTTCACAAGTAATAGTCAATTAACCTTTATATTTCATACAATATCAATTTCCAAGATATATGACATTTTATTATCACTGTCATTATCGACATATATTTTCAGAAAGCATAATAAATTCTGAAAAGTATTGTGTAATTTCCTACCTAAGCGTAAATTTTATTAAGAGAATTCAAAATATTAACTTAATATCGTATATATTTTCTATTGATGAGAGTGAGTGTAAAATGGATGGATAATTGTTGTGTGACTTTTATGTGACAAAATAAAGAATACTTACTAATTAAATGATTACCCCGATATATAATAGAGTTTTATGACTTCAATGTCAAATTTGTGTGCCTAAAATGTGTGATTTGAAGCATGTAGTTAGATATTATAACTTGAAAGAACATTACTAATAGCCAAAAAAATGAAAAAAAAGACATAATTCACCATGTATCGCGGTGTTTGAATAGACATATAACAAGCATATGAGCATCGAAAACTAAGAAGTTCAATTCATATTAAAGAATAACTATATATATCTGAGTGGAAA